GTTTAAATGAAACATAATATTACTTATGTCGGTAAATGTATTATAGCTATTGAGTATAAATTACAACTATTTAGCCATGTAGCCATGTAGGTACTTATATAATTATTAAAAACAATGTACACCTATTCAATGATAACAGTGGTTAATAATATTAATTTCATTTTTTTTGTTGACCAATTAATTTGGTAATTATAGGCGTATAGCCTGAATATAGAGTACAGGAGCAGCTATACTCTATTGCGTTATTCTTGACTTTAAGTTGTTAGATAATAGATATGCTTTTTCCAGGTCTTGGATATTAGTTTCACGTTGWACCTAGATCTTCTTTTTAAATTAATAACAACACTAAATTAGGTTTTTGGTCAAACGATTTGCAACTGTTGTTCATTCTAAAATTAATGAAAGTTTTGCCCATATTTTTTATAGAAAATAAGTCTTCAGATTTAAATAATGCCCATTACTTTTTTCATATTTGTACGTCTTATGGAAACCAATTCAAATGCTTTTCAYCAAGGACTATGTATAACCAATTACGTATACCTATTCTATATTATTATCATAGAAACTAAAGAAGTAACAGATTATTATTAATTATGTATTAATAATCATACAATTCTACATTCTTATTTGAGAGCACACTGCTAATTGTTATTAAATAACCACAATCCACATTAGGTAGGTATAAGTATATACTATATAGGTTAGGTACCTATTATTTACTCACCAACTCACCTCCCGGTTTCCTAATTATTTTAATATTGTAATTTACATAACTCTGTTTGTGAATTGTGTTTGTACCTATCAATCATATAGCTCAACATTTTCTGTGTAATGTGTTTAAATATTAACCTGTACCTATTTGTTTTGTTTATTTAAATGATGGACAGGCAAATAAAGAATATTTAYGGCGTAATATGTAGGTATATACCTATAAAATGTTGATATATTATACCTTAACAATAAAAGCTTTATGTGATACTTTTAGAATTTATTATGTTTATAAAAATATGCAATTATAAGTTAATGTGTATTGCGTTCTAGGTATAGCTCCTGTCAAATAAATGAATAGGTAAGTAACACAATAACATCGTGTTTCTACTATAGGCACTCTGTAGTAGACATCGTCGGATTTAGAATTTGAGCCTTGTAAAATAGATGTGGATTCTTGTATTTAATACATTATTTTCTCTTGTTCTCTCAAATTATTTTAATGCTGTACAATAAAATATTTAAAAAACACTACTTCTTCMCAATGATTATATCTACAAATAAATAAAATAAGCTTATATAATATTTTTATTAAATTACAATCGTAATATTACAGMATAGCAARGTAGGTAGGTAACAAAATATTTTCAATAGTTTTTGAAAACTTGCTATTTAGAAAAAAAAACCTAAAATAGTTTTGTGCTCAAAAAATCAGTGCTCGGGAGTCTAATATACACTGTCCAAGC